AGAGCTCTGGGTGAGTGCAATCCAGAGAATCTGGGTGCCCTAATCTCCGATGTCCTACAAACAGACCCAAGCATTCTGGAACAGTTACAGACTCTTATAGGGCCCATCGACTGCGTGGAGGATGTATCTGCTGTATTTGCCAACAAGCTGCTCTCTCTCCTGACTGAGTTGGCAGAGTCGGAATCGATGGCCACGACAACGAACATGAGTGATTTCAATGACGTGTCCATTCAAACAGCTTTACCTCCACCTCCGCAGGATCAACAGCACCCCAGTGATAGTGCCTTGGGGCATCACCATCCGAGTGTTAATCCTTGACTTTCATCAATGGCGCCTCACTAGACACAGGGCGATTGGGAAGCTTCCGCCGGTACCGCACTCCCAATCCTGCCATCCTAAATCCCCTGCGTACCCTCACTGACTGTACAGTTCCTACGCTTTGCACTTGTACTATACTCTTGTCTACCCTTCTTCCCGCTATGTACATATATATGCTCTATATATCTGAACCATACAGATATACCACGTCTTTCTATAGTGGCGAAGTTTGTGGTCAGATGGATGTTTCTATGCCCCCACTCTGTCCATCCTCTTTCCTGCTCTCTCTTATTTTGTTCTATTGTCGTGCATTTTTAAACAGGAATTCTAAATGCACTGTGGAAGTAATATGTATCAACACACGTGCGTACGCCCGCACTTCGAAGGACTTATTGTCCAATTTGGTCGTGGGAGGGTTGTTTTTCCAGTGTTTGCTTCGGGCATTTGCCTGCTTTAACAGCTGTCTAACCTAGAGATATAGTGCTTGGGACTGTTCTGAGGTCCGCAGCCATAATACGCGGTTGACGATCACACGTTAACCCAAACTTCTGTTTCCAAGACGAACAAACATCCAACTGCTTACTTTAAAATAAAGGACATGTTGGTGTGCAGTGAAGGATTTTATTATTGTAAATGATCACAAGTGAGAAGAGAAAGTACATGAAACAGCGGGGGTGGGTATGCGTCAAGCCAAGCCGTGACTTATGCAACATTCTTTTGGATTTTAGCCGTAATCTGACCTTTCGCTTCCTCGAACAGCTGGTCCTATGTTACATAAAACAAAGGTTAGGGCGAATGAAGGGGGCCTACCATGCTGTTAATCGAGTCCAGGAAGGGATGGTTCTTGTCACAGTCACGAAGCTGGGAGATGAATCTGTTCATGATCTACAAAACCAAAAGAAGCAGTAGTGGGACGCGGGAGAAGACAAAGCTTATCTTGGTAAACCAACTAAACGGCGGTTGTGGCTTGGTGTCCAGTTCAGCACCCGGACTGATCGCACTGCAATAGTACGTAGCCGTTCTTGGAAAATTTCAGTGAGCCAGAGATACGGGTCTTTTATAGCACATAATATCACGTAGTGCATATCCTGCGATCAATCAACTAACTGCATTTGCTCGAGCCAGATTCGTGTTTTAGTTTCGAAACAGTCAGTTCCACTAACTACTCTGGCGGACTTGTGAACTCAGCCCGACTGGGCAACCGTTAAGAGGGCTGATTATATACGGCCACCAAGCCTGCTGAGAGGATAATCAAAAAGGTACATTGTAAGAAAAAAAGTGTAATCACCTAAAACTCGGTGCAATGACCAGTATTTTCAGGCGGCCTCAAAATCTAATAGTTGCAGTCCTGATTATCCTCACATATTTGTACTGATAACGCCCGGGTTATGGTCATACCGACCGTATTCAATTCTTTACAAACGGGTGAAAATCTTAAGCTACGTGCCTGAAGGTCTGTTTATAGCGCCGTTTTACAAACTACAGTATGTGACCTACCGATATTAAGTATCCAAATTTACGAAGGATTACTTATCACTCAAAAACCTGCACCGATTAATGATCTAAGGCTCTAAAGTAATGATGAACGATTTTAGGTGAATTGGAAGCATAAGATAATTATTAAGGTTGATACTACGTTTGAAATACGAAGTTTTTTAGAAAAGCGGAAATAACTGAGTAATCTTACGTTTTTAACGCAAGTGCTCTGCCCATACTGAAAAACGAGTAACTAAATCAGCACTAGTAAAATTATATCTGAAAATAATCATTTAGTGGAGTTTGCACCTAAAAGGATAAGGACTGCAGCAATGTTGGACAGCATAAAAAGAAGGATAGCACAAACCTCTGCGGGTTTGCCAGTATGCTGAGAAACGACCATCATGTTTATAAGCGTCTCAGTGTGGCTGGGTTCCTAAAGTAAAAAGAAATAAGCGAATTAATTCCATGTAAACGCATAACCAGCGTGGACATACAATTTGGCTCAAGATTACGAGGCCGACTGAATTTTAACAAAGAGGATTCCGAAATTTCTGTATAGATCTACTCGTTTTTTGTAGGAGTGTAAACGAGGACAACGTTTTGTCTGAACAAGGCTTCAGCACAGAATATAATTTGATGTAATACCAAATTAACATGGCGGTTTTTCTCCTGTATTTTAATTAATAATAATAAGTAATAATCAATTTGAGCTCTTTGCGTACCATGTCGAGGGACTGCTGCAAGACGGGCTCAGCATCAGCCCATCGACCCATAGCCATCAGAGCTGCAGCCTGGCCGTTGAGTAGAAGGGGTGTTGGTTTATACTTCTCTTGAAGCTCCTGGTAGATGCTCAAGGCCTCATTGAGCTTGTCGCCGCCCTGGTCAGCAAGTAAGGGATATCAGAAGTCATAAGGAACAAACAATTCTAAAAAAGAACATCAAAAATTTGACTGTTTTCCTACGGAAGCAGCTTTTGCTCGCAGAATCATTTAAACTGTTATTTCAATGACTGAGTGGTCTAGAAAAAGGTATGTAACTTCTGTTTGTTA